GCAGGCAGTGTGGGGTGCAGACTGGTGGGGTGTGCACATATTTGGGGTGAAGCATGGGGTGGAGGATGGCGTGGGGTGCAGGGAGGCATGGAGGACAGGCAGCACGTGGGGCGGGCTGCCAGGGGTGACCGGGGTGCTCGGCACAAAGTACCCATTCAGGGCCACCCCACAGCAGCAGCGCCCAGCCCCCGTGAGTGCCACCCACGTGGGGTGCGGATCCCTTCAAGTAAACCCCTTCATGCCGTGGCACGAGGGGTGGCCTTGGGCGCACGAGGAGGTTTAGGCCGCCTTTAAGCAGCGGGATTTAGCCGGAGGATCTGGTGCCAGCACAGCGTGGGATCTTTCACAAGCCCCATGCTCACGGGGAGCGGGAGCTGAAGCTGCCGAGTGAGGGGGAGTGGGTTCACCTGAGGCCAGGGGCCATGGGGAGGGGGATAACTGGACCTGTCTGAGAGCTCACCAGAGGGATCTGGCCACAATGCCTTGGGCTGGGTCCCCATTTGGGCTGGGTCCTTCTTTGGGTGGGTGCCTCTGGGGGCTGCCACCCCTTCCGACGACCCTTTTCCTGGGACAAAGACCCCACTTGGTGATGCCAGGGGTTGTGCACGAGTCTGTGATGCCTGTGATGGCCAGGATGCCCAGCTGGCCAGCTGAGCGCAGGTCCTCTCCGGTGCAGGGCTGTTGGGTCTGTTCCTGAGCCCTCACACTGACGATGCGCCCGTCACATGCCATCACACTTGCAGGGCTGCAGACAAACATCCAACAAGTTTTAGGAGGGAGCTGAGCCTTGTGCCAGGACTGGCATGGGAAGGGTCAGGAGGTCTCCGGTGGAGAGCAGTGTGCGATGCCCCTCACCACGGCAGCATTGCTTAGGGCCTCAGCACAGGTCCAGGTTTTCCGTCCCTGTTTCCCCCTGCCCTTCATCTGGAGTCTCGTGCCTTCCTCCTCCTTCCTTCCTCCCTCCCTCCCAGCAGAGTCTCAGTTCCATGTGCAGGGCAGCCCAGTGGAAACAAAATCCATAAATCCCAGTGGCATTACAAAACATGGCTTGTGTAAGCCCCTTCAGTCCTGCTCTGGTGCTTAGCCTAGCCCCGCCACCTCCCCAAAATCCCCATCACAGCAAGAGCCTGGCCAAACCCTTCTTGGGAAGGAGCTTGGGGAAGGAGATGTGCACAGCCCCATCCTCACTGCGTCCTCATCCAGCTCCTGCAACCCTGGGCCCAAAAAGAGTTAAAGCTGCAAGGGCCCCCCCCCGATGTGGGGGATGCTGGGATGCGCACATCCCAAAAACCCTTGTTTTCCCATCTTGCTGCACACATGCATGGGCTCAGGGTGATCCCTGACGCATCCTGGGGCTTCCCTCCCTTGCAGCTCCACAGCATCGCCCAGAGGTGGACAGGGTTCCAGTTCCCAAAGCTCCAAGCAGGCAACTATCTCCCTTGGGACCATCATAAAAATAAATATCTGCCCATGGGGTTTTTTGTTTAAAAGCTGAAAGAGGCCCCATATTGATGTTGGTTTGTGTGGCCTCACTGGGGAGGAGTTGGAGAGTCCCAGGTGGCCAAATTCGTAGTGGGACCTTGCCAGGCTTTTTGGGGCAGACACAGGGGAAGAGACCTGGCCCGCTTGCCCTGGGGGAGCAGACCGGGATGGCAGGCTGCCCACCGCCTGCCTCTGCCCCTGTTCCGTGCTAATGAGCAAGTTACACAACAAGAAGCTTTTATACTTCGTTAATCAGGTCTGGCATCCTAGCCCGCCCCTCCACGCAGGCTCCAGTTGACTGGCAGAACCCCAGCTCCCTCCTTTCCTCTCCTCAGCTGCCTTTTGTAATGTTTTAATGGGGTTTCTTGCCCGCGTTGTGCTGACTTAATTACAAAGCTGTAGTGGGTTGATGCCTTGTGACGGTCTAATCCCAACCTGGTGACTCTACAAAGCTTTCGCCCAGCTTTCCTGCTGCCCCACTCCAGCCTTGCCATCCGTGCATCTGTCTTGGCCCCGGGCACTGACTCTCTGCGGACGGTTCAGCTTTTCCTCTCCCTGGTGAGTATCCGCGACTTTTTCCATTCCATATAACTGCATCAGAGACTGTCATCCATCCTTCCCTAAACTCGGCGCCTTCATGCCTCCAACCCTCGTGGAAAGGCAGACTTGGAAAAAAAGGATGGAGGTGTCAGGCGATGAATATCCACGTTTTTAAGCTGCTTTTGCAGTCATCCCTGGTGTTTCTCCAAGCTGCTCAGCCTTTTGATGAGTGCAGTATGTGATGGAGCGGAGGAGGGTTGGGGTGCCCCTGCCTGAGCAAGAGGGATGTGGGATGGGGCATGGGGGGACTACAGAGGCTGTCGGGATCCCCACCAGCGCTGATTCCTCCTTCTGTCTCCCAGTGTCCTGTGGCCAGCGGAGGACAGAGGTCGACATGTCTGCAGTTGTGAGTACTGTCCCCTGCTGCCTCATCCCCCAGGCTCTGAGCTCCCCACCCCGCAGTGCTGGGATGGGGCACACCCCGTGCACCCCTCGACCCCTGACTGCTCTCAACCTGCAGCGGGGAGCCTGGGTGGCACACAGCCCGGCCTCATCCCATAGCATCCCCTTGGGTGCAGCCATGGAGGCTCTGCCCTTCCCCACAGCCCCCCCACCCTAGGGGACCCATGGTGGGGCAGGGAGCTGAGGGGCTGGCTGGGGAGACCCCACATCCTCCCCTCGCCCCCAGACGGGCACTTTCCGCATCGTCTCAGAGGAGGAGCAGGCCCTGCGCACCAAGCTGGAGCGCCTCACCACCAAGGACCACGGCCCCGTCTTTGGGAGGTGCGAGAAGATCCCCCCGCACACCCTGCAGAAGGTGAGGGTGGCTGCGGGGAGCGGGGCCAGGTGCAGCCTGGGGCACCTGCTCCTTCTTAGGGGCCAGAGGAGACCCTAGACGGGCTCTCGCCTTGGGGGGTGGGATGTGCTTCCAACAAAGGGTCTCAGAGGGGGGGACCTGGGTGACCCTGCCCTCCCCATGCTGGGAAACTGCAAGGAGCATCACTCTATCCCTCAAGCTTCTGGGTTCCTAAATGACCCCTAGGCTTCTTTGGGGTGCACGGGGGGCATCTCTGAGCCGTGCCCCCTCCCTGCTCCCCCCCAGGCAAAGGATGAGCTGAACGAGACAGAGGAGCAGAGGGAGGCGACGGTGAAGGCCCTGCGGGAGCTGGTGCAGGAGCGGGCGGGCAGCGAGGAGGTGTGCAAGGCAGTGGCTGAGAAGGTGCAGGGCAAGGATGATTCCTTCTTCCTCCGCTTCATCCGTGCCCGCAAGTTTGATGTCCACAGGGCCTATGACCTGCTGAAAGGTGGGGAAGGGTGTTGGGCTGTGACACTGGGCAGGGCAAGGGTATCCATGCCCCCAGCAGCTCCTGGCCCCAACTGGAGCTTCCCAGCCTCTTGGTCTGGGCTGTGACGGCAGAGCAGGATCCTGGCACGGGAAGGGGATGAGAAAAGGCACCCCCTCCCCATACTGGGGGTGACCTGGAGGGAGGGAGGGAGGGGGAGTGGGAGGGCTGCCCAGGGTGTCACTGCCAGTGGGGAACCTGCCTGGCTCTGGTTCTGCTCCTCTTTGTGTCAGCTTGGGGGATAATGAGTTGCAATTATCAGCACTGGCTCCCAGACGAGCTGTTCTGTTCACTTGCGTTTTCCCAGGCACCCAAACAGGGAGGAAGGGAAATGAGGGGGAAAATCACTTTATCTGCTCACTGAGGTGTTGGGGAGAAGGCAGGTGTGGGAAGCCCCTGGCATGGGAGAGTAACACCGAGAGGCTGAGCTCCTCTCCCCACGTTTGCTGGAGAAGACCTGACCCACATGGGCCCCGGTCACAGCCGGTCTGCAGCTCCTGGGCTCAGCACCAGTATCTTGCCATCGCCAGCCCACCCCAGCTCTGGCAGCTTCCCCAGTGCTGCCCTGGCTTCCCACCGTGAGGTGAGCAGCCACTGTCCTCCCTGATTTCTGCCTCTCTCCAGGCTACGTGAACTTCCGCCAGCAGTACCCCGAGCTCTTCGACAACCTGACCCCTGAGGCCGTGCGCAGCACCATTGAAGCCGGCTACCCCGGCATCCTGGCCAGCAGGGACAAGTATGGCAGGGTGGTGATGCTCTTCAACATCGAGAACTGGGATTACGAGGAGATCACCTTTGATGAGGTCAGCCCAGCTGCCGCGCCTGGAGCGAGTGGTCCTGCTCCTGGGCTTGTCCCGCTCAGCACAGCTGAGCACGGCACCCCTTACACACAGATACGTACGTCCGCACACAGCCTCCGGCCAGCCAGGCTGGGGCAAATCTGTAGCCCTTTGAATTTATCCTTCCAGGGAGCCTGGGACAGCATGGCCCATCCCCAAGGGTTTCCCTGCTTTCCCCCTGAGGCAGTGCACGCCAAATTCAGGGTGTGCATCCCCCAGCCCAGGTAACAAGAAGTGAAGAAAGGCACCATGCCATTAAATCAAGGTGCTTTAGAAATGAGAGACCCACAGGGCAGAGGAGGGAACTGAGGCATAGGGCACAAAAAGGGCTTCTTGGCAAAGAAGTCTCCAGGCGTGTAACTTGCAACTTCTCCCAGCTTTGTTTTCTGCTCAGCCCTGAATTTGGTGGCAACATATCATTGATCCAGATCAGAGATGCAGCCGCCTTGAAAGGGGCACCTGGTGCTTGCTGAGCATTCCCTGGAACACCCACCCTGCTCTTACATCCTGGGGCTGGCTGCAACAGCGGGCTGGTGTCGAGCAGACCCCGGCTAACTCTCCAAGGGACTCTTCCTGGGACCCTCCTGACGTCTCTGGGAGGTGAGGCCTAATACCAGACCTGTTGTTTCTCCTCTCCTTCAGATTCTTCGTGCCTATTGTGTCATCTTGGAGAAGCTGCTGGAAAATGAAGAGACCCAAATCAACGGGTTCTGCATCATTGAGAACTTCAAGGGCTTCACCATGCAGCAGGCCTCGGGGATCAAACCCTCTGAGCTCAAGAAGATGGTGGACATGCTGCAGGTGAGGTGGCAAAACCTGCACCCAGCAGAGGCAGAGCGGGTCCTGGGGGACCAGAGAGCTCAGGAAAGGGCGAAGGCAGGCTAGCAGAGCTTGGGATTGCCAGCACACTGGCGGAGAGGGTCTTCCCATCACATGCTCAGGGGAAATCCTAAGCACAAGTACA